AATTCAATACTATGTGTATTGAAACTTTATAAAGAGATTCCATCGTGATTCAGTTAGATTCATTCAGTCGCGATTTATTTGAATAAACACCGTGGAAACTTGCCTTTAAACTTCTTGTATGACGAACTCTTAAAGAGTTATATTTATCAACAATTAAAACATTAATAAAAAGGTTATCAAAATAAAGAATATAGGTACTTCGTGTATCAACTTGTCATAATATTGTTCTGTTCTTAATAATTTTTTAGAAGTTAACTATCCCGTCCTAAGAAGCTTACATATTTGTTTGTTCCAATAATTTATCTTATATCCAGTATTTATACTATCGCTAGATAGAATTATTTATAACAACAGCACTTGAATTTCTCTAAAAAGTATTTAACGTCCAAATTAAAGACAAAAAAACTTTTTTTTATTTTTGCCTAATTTTAACTTGGATAACGATCAATGTATAATCCAATTAATAGGTAAGTGAAAATATCACAAAATGTTTACAGTCGAGTGTCAAGGTTTATTAGTCAGCGGCAATTTGGTGGGCGGGTAAGCGATACGTAAGTAATGGACGCACACCTCTTCAATTTAATGGATTACCGCAGCTTTAATATACACTAATTAATTATTGATAATAGTCTAATACTTTAAAATTGATTACACGCGTTAAAATTTCTTATTGAAATTGTGACTTCGTAGAAAGTCCGTAGAAGGTACTAATTAGAGAGAGAGAGATTAGTAAGAGATTAGTACTAATTAGAGTAGAGTTTTTTTTAACGCTAGTTTTCTTAAATGAAATGTTTTTTACCTGTAACGAAATTATTCCGTATCTTAGTTTACATTCCATCAGCTGAAACTTTTGATTTCAGCAGAAAATGCCGTATTAGTGGTTTAAAATTTAATTTAAATGTTAAAAAAATGAAACTAAAGAAAAATAATGAAACTGCCTCGTCTTTTTGTTAAGGTTTTAAGGTTTACTCATGTTATATATATTTTTTAATCATCTGTCCAAAAAGGCAGAAGTATAAATGTAATTCAGTCAGTATTATTCTCTTTTGTACTCTCAAGGGGAACAAACTTCAAGATGGCTTAGTTAAAAATAATATCTGCTAACGATGCTTAAACTTTCTGTGACTGAACCGTCTCGAGTTTTAGGATCCCCTTTGAGATTCACTGAACTAACCAGCATAATCAAATCATCAACATTTATAATTCACGAAAACTTCATTGAAATATGTTTTCGAGACACAATTTAATTAAGATCAATTAACAAGGACTGTCACTTATTAAAATACGGAAACTTTGTAGTACTGTTAAATCAAATTTTTGAAAGTCAATTAAAATAGCAAATTTTCAAGATGTAATACTTAGTTTTTTAAAATTAATAAATAAGAAGATAACGAAAAAGGTTCAACGTAACGAAAATTTATTTATCAAACACCTAATTCACAAACATTTAACACAAAAAAGTGTTCTACGTAGAAGAAAGTTTTGTGTTTTTAATGTACATTTTGGAATGACTCAAAAACTACTAGGCCGAGTAAAAATTCTTTCACCGTTAGAAAGGTACTTCATCTATGAATAACATAGGCTACATTTTTTCTTATTTTTTATTTCACGCGGCCGAAGTCGAGAGCAACAGCTAGTCTCTAATAAAATCAATTTGCGGACCGAAACCAAATCAGACAAAAAAATAACTTCAAAACCCGAATTGAAAACAATTGAATCACAATATACGGGAAGTATAATATAAATACAGCCGCTAGTAGTGTTCAAGATCACATTATCTCCGGTCAATGTGAGATAAACAAATAGAATTAATAGTATGTTACGTAAGTGACGATATTCTACTGTTAACAGTTATGTTTACTATACGGACTGCGTTTGTTATGACGTTTTCGTATGAATAAGTTTGTCAGCTTCAAAACCATTTACATTGTGATCAAATATATTTTAATCCAAACTCCAGAATCGGTTTTTGTTCTGAGTAAACTCGATAGGGTTACAGATCACATATTATTAAACATAAAGAGCATTACTCTACAATGCAGATAAGGCAATAATAAGTCCATTAATTAGTAAAAAAATAATTCATATTGTTCACAAACTATCACCTGTGTTTTTATAAACATAAGTTTCTTTATCAACACTCATTAAATATTGTTGACATGTCAATTGACCTTTTAACCTTAAAAATTCATACATTATACACAACATAATCATTGTTACTAAGAGTGATACCGACCGTATTATCAAGGGTTAAAAATAATATTAGGTTTTCACATGTTTTGTCCCGAACGCTGGAAAACATATTTTCCAATCTTCGTGGACTTTTTAATCTATCGGGTAACCACTATTTAGTTTTTGTAAAACGGATTACATTAAAATACAATATAAAAGTCCAAATTTAATTATTTTATAACAAGGAAAACCAGCAATACAAGGTCGATTAAATCAATACTAACAACAACGTTAAACTTTCTTATCAAATGAATAATTAAATATGAGTAAGAAGTTTACAAATTATGAAAGTAATAATGAATTGTGTGAAAGAGGATATGCTTAAGAAGGAAGTGTATTCAGATATGACGGCTGATAGAAATGTATGAAAGAGCAGAACATACTGTGACGACCCTCCTTAAGGGATAAGGGCAAGTTGATGATGATGATTTTTACAAATTATCACGATAACATTTTTATAAGTAAAAAGGGGCAAATGAGTAGTGGGACTTTAGAGATAATGATGACCCTAGACACCCTCAATACCAAAAGAACTACAGATGCGTTGCAGGTTTTTGAGAATATGGAATATGTTTTATAAACCGTAGGTTACTTTCATTTTTTAATGCCGAAAAACTCTTGGTAAGATCTTTTAATTAAAATCACTTTGATTTTGTAGTGACACTTCAGCTGTGTAAAGACCGCTTGGTATTTTGCTTACGCAAAGAAAAATGTTAGGTACTCGTACAATCCTTACTCATTATTTTATAAGTAGCTGGTGTTTCTCTTATCATAGAATGAAACCTAATATGTCTAGGTTAATCAAACGTACGTTTCTAGGTAGGTAATTAACCGTTACCCCTATTTCCTTGGATCTGTTAATTACGAGATAATTTTTTTGCGGGATGCAAAAAAATTATCAGGATAAAGTACAGTAACAAATCGTATACAAATTTTGTCGATGACGTTACGAATGCCTTCTCGCAACTGTCACACAATATTCGTGATAGATCCTCTGAATTAGGGCTGTGAGTTAATAAACAGCTTAATCTGGGTCATTAAGCGGCGTACAGAGAAAGGTGTGGTTATTTCAATAAGTATCTTTATTGTATCGTCGGGGAGAAGTGCTTGCCTTAACGAGGTTCAGCTCGTTTTACGACCGCTTTTACGGCCAGAATTGGGAACTTGCTCAGTTTTCACTTTGATCCCTACGTGTTTGTTACTATTATATGAAAAAGTAAGTCATTTGTCAAATTGATTTTTTTTTATCCCTTTAAATCCGCCTATACAGAATTACATCAGACTTCGTAACTTCATCATTTGAATTCTGTTTTGTCAATTAAGCTGTATTTCAAACATTAATTAACGCTAGATTTTTTCAGCTATAAAAATTTATCTTTTCAGAATTTATTAAATTCGTAATTATCACATTATGATAAGAAATGAAAAAATATAGCCTATGTTACTCACAGATAAATAATCTTTCTAACGGTGAAAGAATTTTTAAAATCGGCCTCTATTCATTACATTCAAACAAAGTGTTCCTCTTTATAACATTAGTGTTGATAAATTAATAAACTTGTGATTTGTGAAAATAAATTCATATTGTGTGTAAGATTTCGTCTTACGAATGTCTTGTTATTTTCCTTTGATGACAAATTGACGCGTCCCAAATCTTTCTCGGTCGGATGAACTTTAGCTTTTGTTTACTTTGACATAAACCGAACTTACTGCCATTACTTGTTATACGATCCCTGGATTAGCGACAAAACTTTCCATTACCTTAACGGAGTTTACCTTTTAACTGCCATATACAGATTAATCCAATGTGGTTACATTACAACATCGATGTGTCAGGGGTTTAAGCACTTGTAATCTACAGGTCTTGGGTTCAAATCCCATGTACGAATGTGATTTTAAATTTTCGTATTTCAAATCATAAGTAACACGAGATTCTTACGGTGTAGGAAAACATCGTGATGCAATCTGCACATATCAGGAAAGAAATTCAAAGATATTGTAGTCAACCAACCTATAGTGGGCAAGCATGGTTGACTAAAGCCTGGTCACGTTATAAGGGTAGTCTTTGATCTTCTTAATGGGGACAATGATGGTAATGATGATGATTGATGTTTACGCAGTCTCTTAGTATAGGTTTGATTCCCGAGGTCACTATTAAAAAACTCTAAATTTAAAGAGAAATATTTATCAAAGAATATGCGTGGATCTTAGTTTTTTCCTCATTGTTTGAATGTTATTTTTACGTTATACATTTAAAAGTCAAACCTGAAGTTAAATATTTAATTTACACGGAACATAGTTAAAACGCGAGCGTTGCAAGACCCAAAAATTTATGTATGCTTTACTTTACCTAAGTAAATATATCCTAAACCAACAGTTTTCTCGTAATTCAGTGTAACACGTGTGGTATTAAATAAATATTTTATTATGACATTAACGTCTATTTTAAATGTTTGAAACAGGTTGTAAAACTCGAAATGCTTTATAACAATCATAATTGTGAATAAACGTGACAAATCATATTTGAAAAATGTTAAGAAAAATAATAGTTAGATAAAATTAACCGATAAAGTGTCAAGTGATTTTTTTAAATCTTGGCGTCGAATTCTACGAATGTGTAGTATATTAACAAATTACGCAAATAACGCATGCAATGCCGGGGTCACTTGATATCTCGTTTAATTCAAGATCATTCCCATCTTCATACGTCAAATGTCAACTATAATATAATTTATAGTACAAATACATTTAAAAAAATATTTACTGACCTCGTCCAAGTCAACAGTAACATACACAATTTAAAGGTTTGTTAACTCTTCACAGATATTCACTTGTTTTATAACATTTACGAATAATAAATCAATAAAATAAAACAAAACATAACTTCACATCACTTCGTACGTGTGAGATTTAGTAGAGCGAAGCGCACGTCCGTCGCCCAGGACCGTATAGCTTGCACTGACTCGCTTCAGGCAAGACTATACCTCAAAGGAAACTTTTGCCTATAAGGAGTGCAAAAATATGGCTCAACCAGCCTACGCAGATTTTCAGTGATATTTTAAATTTTACACCTACGCAATGATTACCAAAGGGGTTGGATAGGTTGGCCACCATCAATCTAGTATCTATTTTTGGTAACATTATTAGTAATTTTACCTTTATTACATAGGATAAAAAAGTCGCTTCTCGCTGTCTGTCTGTTCATATGTCTGTTAGATCTTTAAAACTACACAACGGTTTTAGATGCAGTTTTCTTTGCTAAGTTATTTAGTTTGTAATTAATCACCGAATAGATGGAGTTTCGGGAAATTTTCATTATAATTTGAAAGGGAATATAATTAAAAAGATTAAGAAAACAACTAGTCGTTAAATCATTGTTTATATTATTAAATTGTAAAAACGTGCATTGTTTTGTGTAATCGGGCACGTTTCTTTCAAGAATTACCGTTAATTGTTAGGAAACGATAGCACTATTAAAATTCATTTTTTCCTTGGGGCCTTTTGTATTTTTTAATAGTAACATTCGAGTTAATTCCGTATCATCATCATCATCATCATCACCAGCCCACTGAGGGACTCGGTTCCTACACTAAATAAGGGGTGACTAGCCCATAATTAACTGCACTGGCACAATGTGGGTTGGTGGATTTCACACTATCTTTCTTTACCGATATGTGTAGATTACATTACGATGTTATTCTTCACCTTACAGTGAAGAAATGGTTCTGTTGCTGTTCTTATGAACGGCGGGTAAATTATGTACACGCGAAATTCAAAAATCAAAAATCACATTGGGACATGGCGGGATTCGAACCCAAGACCTGTAGATTTTCAAGACAAGTGCTTAAACCCCTAAGCCACCGACGTAATTTTAATTAAATAGTATTTTTTTAATCTTTAAAGTAAAATGTAATGAAAGGTTATTTGCGTATGTATATATTACGGTTTTAATAAATTTTGCAAGATCCGTAAGAAGAGAATGACACTTGTTCATTATTATTTAAGAGCGTTAATATTGACACGAAGCCGGGCCTTTCGCGACCGTCGCCGCGAGCCCTCTTAACAATCTTTTGACAAAAAACTCCAAGGGTATAAGCGACTTACGAAGCATATTTTAAAATACCATATCCCTCAGGCAACTTGACCTTATTTTATTTTTCACAATTTCATCGTAATAATGAGTTCTTGTACTTTCTTCTTTCGATAGATGTTGGTCAACATAATGAAAAATTCAATTCTGTCTCAGTGAGGTTAAATTGTTGAATTTTTATCTTTGAAAACCTTATAATTCCTTATAATTTCATGAATTTAATCCTTTCTTCACGTTAACAGCAGAATTGTGTTGTGGCATTTGTCTAATTGTATCAAATTCGTTATTTTTTGGAGATTATTATCAGCATCTGGCTACCTATTACTAACACAAATCGTATATCTGAAATTGTAAAAAAATGTTTAGTAAATTCCAGACATTGGCGGCCAGCTAAAACTAAATGAAGGCCAAATTTTAGTGTTACCAAAAACCACGAACTACCGAATGTTATTACGCGTGTTTTAGAGGAAAAAGTTTTCCTTGAAATGCGGCTTTTATTAGACTTGCTGGAATGTCTAAAGTTACATTATGTTGTAGGTACGTATTAATTAGTTTTAAAACCACTACTAGAAAAGCAGTGAAAAGACAAAAAGGAGGTTTTTGATGATAAAACGTTTTTAATTATTTCTTGTAAGAGAAGGGTATATGAGCAGTAGGAATTGAAGCCCATGAACATTCCCCGTGACAGAGTAACTACAGATGCGTTGCTAACCTTTGAGAACATCGAACCCCTTAGACAAAGTAATAATCGTGTATCGTTATCGCTGATCGAAAAGTGCAAATGTATGGTACTGACTTTAACATTCGATAAGTCAAGTATTCTTATGTGTTTTGACACATTATGTCGATTGAATCGACTAAACTGAGAAAACACAACGTACAATCAAGGTCTTGTTTAAATTTGAGGTTAAGAACAAAAATTTTAATAGGTATACAAATATTAGTTCACTAATATCAGCTAAAAGTATTTATCTTCATTACATTTCATTCATTCATTATGGAGTCATTATGTGTAAATAATTTAATTTTCTCGCTAATGTTATAGAGTTTGCTAATGATGTAGACGTCTGGTAGACCAGTAGAACGAGTTAATGTTCATTAACTCGCAAAACTTTAGACAGAGTGCTTCCTTTTAGATTTCCAACGCAAATCAACCAGACCTTTAATGTAACAGTCATCGTCTTAGAATAATAATACTTAGAGACATTGTTAAATGAACATAGCTTTTAATGTAGACTGTAAATGGTTTTTTTGTAGCAAAAAAACTTATTTTTTAGTCATAATTTTGGATATGAAATATGAATGTGATGATATGAATAAATTTATTTTTTCTTAGTTAGGAGTTCGTGATATTGGACACTAGCCAATTGAGGGTTAACATTTAAGTTTTTTTTTGTAATATTAGGTGGCAAATGAGCAAGCGGCCACCTGAATCGACCGAAATGGAAAGCGATCGCTGCCCATAAACATCCGCAATTGCAGATGCGTTGCCCACCCTTAATTGTTAAAGGAGGAGACGCACAAAAATATCTTTCCTCTTTCTATGCGTCTCCTCCACCGTTAAATCTACTTCTTCTTCCCATCATTCCTCTTCAGAAAAGGGTGGAAAGGGAAAGGGACTAAAATTAGGACTTCGGCACCACACTCATCAGACGAAACGCGAAATTGGTTCCACTTCACGCCTGTTTTCTGTGTGTATTGCACCGGGCTAGCCGACCTATCTGTGCGAAGATGTTAAAGCGGGCTCAACCACTGTTAAAAATTCAAGTTATAGTTCTATTTCACATAAGTAGAACTAATTATTCCTGAGCAATTTCTAATCCAATTTTTAGTTTCTATCCATCTGGGTAGAATTCTGATGCGTTGCCTATCTTTAAAGGATAGAGAAGGGGATGTACAAGAAGATGATATTTATCCTTCCTGTATATTCCTTCCCCTGCTTGTTCATCTTTCATACCGATTTGGCTTGTTGAAATTCAATAACTTCCATCTCTGTTAGCTATAAACGATAAAGTCAATGTAGTTATTTTCAACTACCTCATAAAAAATAATGAGATCCAAGCACTTCCGTTAAGCTGTTGTCAACATGAGCTTATATTCTAACAACGGTTTTAGATATTGTGGTGACGGCAATCAATTAGGTCGAACTATTGACCCTAATTCTGTTAAAGTACACACTACATTATAGTCTCTTGTTAAATAGAGGATAAGCACCTATGTTATGCGTAAGCTCTAAAAGCACTCAATTTGAAATATATTTTATAAGTTCTAAGTTGCTTATTGTTCTGCATTATAAATTTATATTTGTAACGATATTCTTATGGTCGGTTTCCCAGCTACATTTAACCATTCCTTAGTGTGCCTAGGTCGATAAATTCATGAAATACGTTTCACAACTACGTAACTTGAATTTAACTCCATTATAACTTGGGTCAACCTAACACTAATATTGCTAGGTACTGATACAATAAATGGGGACTTCAGAAACCTAGCATTAGTCTTATATACTTTCTATCGACTTCTATCGATACATAATGTTCTGTCAACAAAATTGTATATGTCTATTATTTTTTTTTATTTCAACATACTTTATTCTACTTTTCATCATCACCAGCTCACTATACGTCACCACTGAGGGGCTCGGAGCCTACTCTAAAATCACATTGGTACATGGCGGGAATCAAACCCGGGACCTGTAGATTACAAGTCAAGTGCTCAAAGTTCTGATCCATCGACACCCTGTTCTATTCCACTTTACGAGATAAAATTCTATCTTGTGAAAGAAAGGTTTTTAATACCATCTAGTTTAAGAGACTATTTCAGACAACGTTACTTTTATATTTCCTAATGAAACATAATTCAACGCTGAAATCTTTCCATTTGTTAAGTGTTCTTACGTAAGACAGGCATATAGTGGGGATGTACTTAACGTTTCAAAACATTTTATGTCCCCCGAGGCGTGTTAAACCTTAGTAACTCTTGCGTAAAAACGACCCAGAATACCTCCTTTCGTGATTAGCGAGGCGAGAAATTAATTTTCCCATTACAAGTTGTCCATGAGCTTACCACCTGGAATCTTATGACTTTATTTGACTTGGGAATTTTACCAAGCAATATACCAAATATAACTATTAATTCTGATAGGTCCACCGAAAATTAGCGTTACGGTAATCACAGTGGATGCCAAATAAATTTCCTTTTAATCTTTTTGACCGACCTCCGAAATGAAGGATGAAGGTACTCAATTCGTCTGTATGTTTTTTTGTATGTTACGGCATAATTCCACCGCTAGTGGACCGATTTTGATAATTCTTTTTTTTTCTGAAATTGCTTGCAGGTGGGTCCCATTTTTTTGTTTGATTTTTGGAGTCAAAGACTACGACGTAGTTAAATAGGTTATCTTAAATTAGTATGTTTATTACTTTTCTTTCTTCAAATTTTATAGCATAAAAGAAGCTTTTGCTAAGCTTAAGTTTAAGTTTAGATTAGCATTGACGCTTGTAGATACCAGAATGTTTAACAATTAAGTTACAATACAATAAACGATGTAAGACAATCTAACATATCAAATATCTGGTTTTCGTAGATTTTCCCTTAGATTGTAATTCTTCCTCGAATCGTCTTTCGATCATTAAGAAATCTGATCTGTCGATACCCTTGTAAGTTAAATTCCTTTAACTGTAAGTCAAAGAAAATGCAATAACGAACCGTTAGAGTAAACAAAAAGTCGGCCAACTGCCAATGCTTTAAATAGAACTATAGATGAAAAATATGGTTTTCATTTCGAGATTTTTTCTTTGACCTACTTTTTAATACAAATAACATACAGGGTGATAGTTTCGTGTCTTG